TTCCAAACTGTTGATGTTTCCTATCCATATACATCCAATCCGTTTTTTTAAGCTAATAGGTACATGTAATTGTTCTGAAGCCATAAGTTTTCCCTCTCCTGTTAGAACTGCGAAACCGAGGTCTGTTCTCTTCGTCTGATTTTATTTGGAAAAGGTTAGTACCAAGTAGAAGATGGATCATTATGCATTACACTATAATGCTGTATAAGCCTGAAAAAAACAGGTAATCTAGGAAAGAACAATTATTTGCTGTAATTTTATTCTATATGTATTTACTAAACGTTGTAAGAGCAACACATATTTCAAAGTTGTATTAGTCTTGCAGTATTTTTGAGGACTTTTTAGAAGTTAGCCATCCTCCAAAAATCAAGTATTTTCTATACTGTTTCAAGAAACAGGATAGCTGGATGTTTGTGATGCCACTCTTGTTTTCATCTTACACAGAAAATGGGTAAATGTCAAGTAATTTGTGTCAGGTGTATGCTCTAAATGAAAGTCAATCAATCATTTTTGGCTCTTTAGTGCAATGATTATCATATCAAAGACGCAGGAGGACATTAAAGATAATGGCTTTTCTGTTGTCTATTATCTCTAACAGACTTCACATAATTATTAACATATGTTCTGGTTTAAGAACAGTGTCAATATTTTGAGCGAAGAGCGTTTTTTTAACTAAAAGGGATATGTCTGTCAGCAAGTTTTTTGTCCATCTAACTAAATGAGAAATTACAATTAATGAATTTTGCATTTCCGCAAGAAGGGCAGATACTGCAGAAGTTGGAAGCTTTGCAGGGTTGAAATACAATGACTGTCTTCAGCTGTCCGCATAACATAATAAACAGTGTTCAAGCTTGAGAAAAAGTAATAAAATGCTAGTGCGTTCTCTTTTGAGGCACTCTCACTTTCTTTTTATTTTTTGTGCCATGCTGAGAAGAATGAATATGGCATTTCCTTGTTTACCACAAAGCCCTACAGTCATGTAGGGTATGGAAAGTATCTATAAAGGATAAATATTTATTTTGTGACTCTTTTGTTTTTACAGTTTTGATAGGCATGAACACATTGAAATCAGTTTGTTACTAGCTCATTTCTTACCTCCTGTGTTATCTTGAGAAACTGTCATTTGCTTGTCCTTTTAAAAAGGCTAAAAATAGATTCTTTCATCCAGTAGAGTTGCAATTAGAATTACATGTCTCCGAAAATATCATGGAATATGGATAAGATGTAAAACTCTGGCTCTTTGTTAAATACATAAATCAAAAGGGTTAAACTTGACCCTCCTTTGAAAGAAAGAGAAGAGATAAGGTCTAGTCTTAAGCTTCTGAAATCTCATTGGTAACACTAGGGGTTTTTACGCAGAATGGCTTGAGGGGTATACTTACTTGACTCGTGTTGGATATTCTTCTTCTGTTTGAATAGGGTTTCAGCAGACTATTTACGGGTCCAGGTTGCTGACTTCACTATAAAAGTTAGTGACTGGAAATGGAGGGAAATGCTGTGATGTGCAGGACAGCTTTTTAGCTAATGGTGTCCCTCAGTACATCTAAAGATTATGGAAAAAACCCATGCACCAGCAGGAGGAAAGATTTAGATTTTAATCACTGAAGTAAACTGTATCTGTTCAGATTTCAGCATCAGAAAGTGTCCTGGACAGAATGTAGACATTACAGTCATACAAAACAGTGAAGTTAATCCTATAATATTTAATGAAATACATTTCTGGCTACATTAGAGAAACACCTTTTAATGGGGATGACAGAATAATTTATCTGAATGTGTTCTAGCTTCAGTATGTCTCCACTTGTAAGTTAGATGATAAATCTGTAAAGGTTATAAAAGGAGCACGTGTGTACATATCAGCTATGTACAAATGAACTAACTTAATAGTGTTAAAAAATAGTCAAGAAACACCACACAGGATAAATTATGTGATGGATCAGACAACAGAATGAATTAGACAGCACCAGCAATCACTGACGGTGTTGTCACTGAGCTGGAAGATGCTGCATCCATTACAGGGATACGTTCGCTCCTAGTCTGGAGGAGTGGCAGGCAAGCTGGCTGCCTTGTCTAGTACTTAGACAAACTCTGCCAGCAGACACAGCAGCATCAACTGGCGTCAGCTGGACGTTAGCTGCTTACCTGTCACTGCCAGCCACAAGCAAGTCCCAATATGCTGAGAGGTGATCAGTGATTTTTTTCTTTTAAAACATAGCCTGAATAGTACAATGCAGTCTTTACAAACTTCCATCTTATTGCCTTATGTTTTTTATGACCTGAAAAACTGCTGAATTTTTTTGTATCTGCTTTCTATTTAGAATTCACACACACACATTTAATTCCCTGTCAGTTACTTCCCCAGAATAACCATAATTTTGGGCAAAATGTTTATCTCTGAAAATGTCCTGTGTTTTACCACTGATTATACATTTGTATTGCAGAAATGTTCAAGTTGTATGTTAGTTCTGACATCTATGACAAAAGTCTATCTAATTCTTCAGCATTACAATGGTTTTTAGAATAGTTTTATCCCCTGTTTAAGCTCTTCTGTTGTCTTATTGCTCCCTTCCCACTGTCTAATGAATAAAATATTAGCCTTCAGTGAGAGATTTGATTTGGTTGAAGCTATTTCAGGTACTCTGAGTCTAGTTTGGTGTCTGGTAATTGTGACCATGTGTGCGTTTGTCTAAAAATGCTGTGAACATGCAGTTGGCTGGGCGTTTTGAAACATGAATCTGTATTTTAGCTTTTACAATTGTACAAGTTCTTCCTTCAGTTTGTTTTACCCGTCTTTCAAGAAGAAAGTCTTACTTGGCAATGTGAGCTAGACTGATCATATCTGGAGAGTATGTATATTAGTACTTTAAAAAATATTCTAATGCAATGATTTCAAATGTCACATTATCTATAAGGACTATAGTCTGGAAAGGTTTTGCCTCAAACTAGGCATGTCTAATACGGTTTATGACAACCTATGAATTTGCCCCTGAACAGGGTCAACTTGGAGGTCAGTGAATGCTATACAAATTGCATACTACTCAAGCCTGTAATTATCCCTGTTAGAAGTTAATGTGCTGCCGAGTTCAGCAAATTCATGTACAGCTTCAGAAATGACCATGATAAACTGTGCAGTTACTTGCATTTGCTCTGAAAAATCACAGTTAATGTGATGCGATGCTTACAGGGTCTTCATTTATCAAATCATCTTATGTGTTTGTGTACTCAGGAAATTAAGAACCTGAATTATTTCTTGTATAAATAATACATCTCAAATAATTTATGTTATATTCCTTTTCTAATATCCAATATAAATGTCATAGATATAGCCTGGAAAAACTTTCGTAATATATTTTGTTTGTGATATTGGCAGAAAATATGCAAAAACTTCTTTAATGTAAGTTCATTACATTTTGTGTCTCTACAGCAGGGTCATAAAGCATCTATAAGATTTTTGTTGAAGGCAGCATATCTTCTTATCTGTATTGTCCAGTATAATTTCAACACTTTATAAACAATAATTAACTTTGCATTTTTCATGTTAAAGTGTCACTATCATTTCTCTTTTTCCTGTATTTTTCAGCTACAACTCTACTTTTACATAGGTGAATGACTAATTAGTTGCACTGTTAAACATTCTTAGATCCCATATAACGTAGGAGTACAGTAAGCAACGTTTGTATGAATTAGTATAAGTTTCATCAGTTAACTCTAATGTAAGCATCTATAAGAATATTACAGGGATAACAACTCTTTTTAGTTTTGGATTTTAAATATCCAAATATTAGTATTACCCAAATATTAAAATTAGATTTGTGTGTATATATTAATCTATATATACACAAAAATAAATGCGTGTGTGTATGTATGCGTTATATATAAAAATATTATACAGATACTAGGGAATATGCATTCAGTACAAGTTTAGATATTAGTTTTAATTTTACATCTGAGTTAGTGCTATCAATAATATTTGTTCATCAACACTAGCTGCTTGCATCTGAACATTTTTATTTTGAAGAACTTCACATCTGTGTTGAATTTTGTGACTTGTTGCTGTCATATCTTCTTTATGATACAAATCAAAATCACAAATAAAAACAGTCCAAGCATTGTGGGAAGTTTGGTTTTGAATCCAAGCTTCACATATCAGATTGTCTTAACATCTGAATTGCGTTTCTAAAACCTTGAAGGTTTACCTTTCATCACTTTATTTATGAACTGATCCACATAGGTAATAAGAAATCTTTTTGTGTAGCTTCTTTTAGTCAGCCAAAGTAACTTCCTTGAGCTTTTCCTTTCCTCCCTCTCATTTCCCTCCCTTCCCTCCTTCCCCTACCCCCCCCCCCACCACCTAAAAAGATCATGGTCTAAGAATCAGGATGAAATACTGACAGGGGTCTGTTACCCAAAATATAAACAAAATCCTCAAATCCATGTAAAATGTCAGGGGTGTGGAGGGAGCACATTTAAACAAGAGTGAAAGGAATCCTTTCAGTAACCCCTAGTGTTCCAGAAGCAGTGTTAACAGGGCATAAAAAGACATTTCTCCAGTTCTCCTTGGTTCAGAAGTGATCCTTTGTCAAAAAGATAGACTTAAATATGTTCATGTTGAAAAATAAATTATTGGATAGGCTGAGGAACTTATGAGATACTCAGAATGCCTAAAATAGTTTTACCTTGATTTGCTTAAGGAGAGGGGAAAAAATACATTCCAAAATAAAGATTCGATGTGGCTTTATTTACTTGTCAATAATATTCTACAAATAAGAGATGATCTTCTTTACTAGACCTGATGAGAATTAAAGCTTCTATTTATCAGCCATTTGTTAAGGTGCAGAAGATGAAGAGAAGTTGTCTTACTATCACATTTAATTAACAACAAGTTTTGAGGGTTGGAGAGACATTAAATGCAACTCAGAAATTAGCTTTTTTCTTTTGTGCTAACGAAGCCTCTGTGGAGTGGTTATTCGATATCAGATGACTTTGCATTATCTTTCTAGATAATCAAACTGTTGGATGGAAAACGATCTCAAACTGTAGGAATTTTAATATCCAGTTTGCACCTGGAAATGAAGGATATTCAGCAAGGTAAGTGTTGCCGAGCTTTTAGTGCATCTTATTTACATGGCTATGTTCTCATAGCACCCATCAGAGAATTTCTTATGCTACTGTATGGGCCTTTGTGTGTGGTCCTCTTTATAATATCAGAAGAATTGCTTTTCCGATAAAGTAAATGTAGAAGTTTCACCTAAATAAGCTAAAGTGAATAAAGGTCCGTCTCTTTCTGTACCTTTTCTTTTGCATGTCGCTTCTAATCCAGTGTTTTCTCAAAGCAGTTTCATATTGCTCTCCTACAGTTCCCTCCTTTTTCTTAAGCAAGTCCTCCACTGAAAAAAAATCAATAGAAGGCTTTTATATAAATCTGTTGGGTTTTAAATATGCAGTCTGTATTTGCTGAATGTTTAAATTTTGCTTCATTAACAGTATAAAAACCACATCAAAAACTGAGAATGCAGCTACCATGTAGCAATCGGAAAGCTGATGGCATTTTTCAAAGTGTAGCGCTACTCAGTGTATAAATTCCACTACTGGTAGAAATTATCTGGGTTTGCCAATATGACAGCAGAGAAATACAGACTTTTCAGAACGCTTGGGTAATTCAGATTCTGCTTATGTTCTGGATTTAAAAAGATATTGTTTAGGGATATTGTTTATTTCTCTTTCACATTTAAAAAGAAAAATATTCACCATTTAAAACAACTGCTGGAAGAATTCAAGTTAATGTCTGCTTTTTGCTATTGTTTTTCTTCCATCACATGCAAATACTGGGCAGGGTGTTGAGATGCTGCTGGCATTGATTATTAATTTTAGAAGAGCCTTCGAGCATCTAGGACTTGAAAAGCACAAGGGCTTACAGATGGCTCTTGGAGTGGAGAGAAACAGCGAGAAGAAGGAATAACTTTGTGCCTGCCAGTATTGTGTGAAAGGTATTGGAATGAGATGGAAAAAACCTGCCATTATTAAATATTTGAATAATTTGCTGGCAGGAAAGGGTAGCAGCTACAATCTGAAAACCGGGTAGTATTCCTAAATATCTTTGGAGACATTTTCACGACTTCTTATTTTCATGCCATGAAGTCCTATAGATAGGACATTCATGATGCAAAGTACTATTTTGGCTTTATAGCCTTGTTGCTAGCAAAATAAAGCGTGACTGCAGCATTTCACTTTGCGTCTGTCAGTTGTTTCCTGTGCTTGTATAGCTTTTGAATCCCTCTGACCAATTTACACCAAATTTAAGAGAAAAGAAAAAGTCTCAAAAATGTTTGGGTGTGTCTATGGTACCATCTGCAGCAAATCTACCAGTTGTCCCTCTACTGTGTTTTAGTTTGCGTTGCAGAGCAGTCTGAGTGCACAAACATGCTTCAGGATAAAACTAAATCAGATGTGCTCTAGGAGCACGCCAGCAGTCTCCAGCCTATACTCGGCTTTAAAGTCCACAGGATCAGACTAGATCTAGTTAAAAGTAAACCTCCCAGAAATGTCTAGAGCATGAACGCTGGTCCTCAGAACCAGCTGTTTCTCTCTACAAATCCATTTCTACTGGACTTGACTATTTGCAGTTGTAGACACAACTAATTTGGTCCTACAAGTTTAAGGATAATTAAAAGGTTGGTAGAAGAGGCACACCAAAAGAAGTACCATCACTGAAGGAAAGTTTATAACTCATCACCTCCTCTATTGTGAGAGGTAGCAAATAACTGGCCTGTCACCACATGTCTTGCTCGAGGCAGCAATAGGACAGCTGCTACGCACTTATGGAAACAGCTAAGAGATACAAAAGGGATTTGGGAATACTGTTAGTGGATTTTTTTTTTTTTAATTTCCAAGCAGTATGAGTGATTCTAATCAAGATCTGTGTGTAGAGTCTCTCTGGGGAAAAAAAAAACACCACAGTTCACCAGACTCAGGGAAAATGTCTGTACTGTGAAGGTAGCCTTCAGAAATGTGTACTGTAATGAAGATAACAGTGTGGTTACGCTTGTCTCTCTTCTAGCCTGTGTTATTACAATTTATCCCTTAGTTTTTTATTTAATTAATGGATATAAATCAGATCTTTGGCAATTCTAACTCCTGCTGGTCAAGAGACAAGTTCTGTAATGGCTGCTATATTCAGTGTACTGGATGAAAAAAGATCATCATTACAATAAACTCTGTACCTCATGCCAGCACCTCACTAAAAAAGAGTGTGATCATTTGGTGATGAACACCAAAGTTTTTTTATGAAATGGAGATACAAAGTTATCTCTCAGGAACATGAAAATTAAACATTCCTCCCTTTTTTGTGCCAGCTTTCATGGCATAATTCAGTGCAGCGGGAAGAGAAGTTAATTGTCTTTTGCAACTTGCAACTGACAGTGAAGAAGCTTGATGCAAAAGAAAATAAAAATGAAAAAAATAAGAAATCTAATTTTATTTGAAGTTGTTCTGACCATATTTGTTGAAAAGACACATTCAAATTAATTTACTATCTATTTATAATGTATTGGTTGTTCTACCTTAAGTGGCAGTTATAGAAAAACAAAAAAACTATCCTCAAATTACTTTTGTGAAGAACTGCTTTATGCATATAGATGCATGCAACATTGTAGAGAAGATCACAGAATCCCAGAGTGGCCAAGGCTGGAGATCATCTAGTCCCACCCCTCTGCTCAAGCAGGGTCATCTAGAGCACATTGCCCAGGATCACATCCAGGCGGGTTTTGAATATCTCCAGGGAAGGAGACTCCACCACCTCTCTGGGCAACCTGTGCCAGTGCTCGGTCACCCTCACAGGAAAGAAGTTTTTCCTCATGTTCAGATGGAGCTGCCTGTGGTTCAGTTTGTGCCCGTTGCCTCTTGTCCTGTCGCTGGGCACCACGGAGAAGAGTAAGATAAAAGAAGAGTAATTACATGAAAACTTACGTAGTACTTTAAATGCTGTGAGATTTCTGCACCTATAGGATTGCCCTCTCCAATTATTTTAAGTAACTGGCTTAACAGCATATTCTTTAAATAGCTCAGCAGTGGCAACACATGTAATGGACCATATCTGGCACCCAGATGTTTCAGTTTGCATTTGATAACAAGCCAGCTGCCACACTTGGAGAAGGGAATCTCCCACAGATGTTTCTTCGAGAGAACGAAGGATACCCTTTGCAGACAATTTTGCGTTCTTGCTATATCTGAGTACAACCTAGGGAGAAAACAGCCTAAATCTGAATAATTATTTTAGCTAGCATTGGTGCTTATGTGATGCAGACAGACATTAAAATTGTCGTGCTACACCTATCCTAATACTCAGTTATTTGGGAGGTGGATAGGGAATAGCAGAACTAAATGCTGTAGTGTTCTTCTAAGAAAGACTAACAAATTCTATTGGTGAATCTGATACTGAAGAGGGCAGTATAGTTTCTACTTAGATCACTAATAATAATATTAATTTCCTGAGCAGAAGAAGCATACAGAAAACTATCTATCTGGACAACATAAAATTTGTATTTGTATTTAAAAATCAAATAGTGATAATCAAATTGTACACAAGTTTGAGATTATTTTCAAGGCTTCCTTCCTGCGGTTTTTAAAAAACATTTTACAAAAGGGATGAAGAATGGTGTAAATCAGCTTTCAGGTAAGGAATAGGCTTTTAGCTCTGCACAATTACAGAAGCAATCTCCTTTTCATGTCAGCACACTTCTGTATTACTTTTCCTATGGTAGTTCAGCTGAAGCATTACAGCTTGAGAAGCAAACTTGTGACTCAAGACTACTTGTGTGGCTTTGCTGTTAAAATATTAACAGCTCACTACATGGTGAGGAGGTTCAGTTTTGTTGCTAATTGGATATGCTGGTGATAAGTGTATGTGAAGACCCTCTGTGGGCACAGGTCCCAACTTATTACAGGTCCACGTTCCAGTCACTCAAGCCATTCCCAGTATAAGTAGCTAGTAGTAGCAGTATACTATAAAGCAGGTAATAGTGCTTTTTTCTGCAGCTTAGGTCATGTCTGCTAGCTTCTCATGAGTTACTGAGTTCTCTGGTCAAAAGTAACCTGGCAAAAATGGAGACCAGCCCAGATCAGAAAAAGTTTTAGTTTCAGTAAGTGGGATATAGATGCCTAGGTCCAAAAGAGTGATTATCCCAAATGCCTTCCTACCTCCATAGTGCTTTTGTTTTGCAACTGAGATTGAGTGGCACCAGAAATTCTACTTCTTTATAGTTGAGGAAGTAGCTCGCTAGTATACCTGATTTTCATCAGGATACATTAACTAGATGTTCTCACATATTAGTATATGTTCTTTGTGACCAAATGTAAGATGCGGTAGGTCACTCCAGATGCATGCTTTATAGCATATTGCATTCTTTATGACATACTACTCCTTGAAAAACAGCTGTAGACTTTGCTAGAACATTTACCAAGGCAAATGTTTAGTACTGTAGCAGTGTAAAGCTAACAGAACTAATCCTATATGGCAAAGGGGAGAGTTGATCACTGACACTTGGCCTTAAGACTATTTCTAATGCTAATTTAATATTAAAAAGAACTCTTTCCTACATTTAAGCAATTAAATATAATGTCTGAAACCCTATTTATTATTATCAGAGTAGCACTAACTATAGCATGTTTGGTGTATTTGTTGTGCATTTCAAGCACTCTTGTGTTCATGAACAGTGTAAACTATCTAGTCTTCAAAATGTTCAAAGCTATCAAGAGCTTCAAAAATGTTAGAGAAATGTATTTGATCACATCTAGATGGGATGGATTAGAGTGGATTTTGCCACAAAACCTACTACTTTTGCAGATTTGCCTTCATTATAGGGTTTTTTTTTTTTCACACAAGTATGGAATTTATTTTTCAGTGTCACAATAATGATATTCTTATAATAGGCAGTGCAAATAACTGTTATGCCACTCCACATCAAATCTTTTTACATGGTGTTGTAGGAGGGGACCAGCTAGAAAGAACACAATTATAATGTTGTTGTACAGTGTCCGTCAACCAGTTGAGCAGTGATGGTTTGCTCATCTACAGCTTTGTTTGTGATTCA